CGCTCACTGGGATAGACTGTTCTAGTTCCACATGACATGTTTAATGGATGTCAGTTATCAGTTATCTCCTGTTAATTCCCCTCTCCAAGTTCTCCACTGCCTTAACCGGGTATTGAACTCACACTCTTTGGGTCCTGTCACTGGATCTAACCAACGCCCTTATCCACTGTGCCATGTGTTCTTGAGTTTAGTTCGACATTCAAACCACCTGAAGAAGGCCGGGCCGTTCAATGGCCGAAACTTTATAATAAATATGGCTTCAAAGATGAGAACAATAGTCCGAATAATGTAGAATATATATATATATATATATATATATATATATATATATATATATATATATATATATACGTGTGTGTGTGTATACATACATACATATATATATATTGATGCATGTTTCATTAAATAATATAGAGAAGTTTTGTCAATTTATTTTAAGTAAGTTCCTTTTATATTGTCTGATAAGCTTAATAAAATTATCATTGAAAGACCAAAGAAAATCACCATATTGATACATGTTTTATAATCCTATCTAAGCTTTCGGCTTACCTAAGCCATTATCAAATATGACAATTACATTTCAATATATCAAACAACACACGGACGAAACAATGACAGTTTGTTTTTGTTCATGCAACAATGATAATGTCATTAAGCTTATCAGACGATATGAAAGGAACTTACTTAAAATAAATAGACTAAACTTGTCTATATTATTTAATGAAACATGCATCAATGAAAAATTGCTGCCTAAATATACACAATTTATATATATATATATGTATGTATGTATATATATATATATATATATATATATATATATATATATATATATATATATGTATATAATTATTGTTAAACGGCGTCTTAATGAAAAAATTAATGATATTTATTTATGCAACCTACATAGTAAAAGCGTTTTCGTTCATCTGAAAATGTTTATATCGAAGGCCAGTCTTGGTATTCGTGCAATTAAAAATCGAGAAACGTTGTTCAAGTAGAAAAGAATTTTTCTTTCTTTCAACCTGTGAGCCAAGGAAAAAATCGAAATCAGGTCATTCCAAATTCCCATAAACAAATTCAAGATTCCCATTTTTTGTTGTTGTTCTATAAGCGATCGCTTTAAAGGGAGACATTCCGTTCACAACCCTTTTATGAATGAACGGATGAATTTTCCCGTGCGCACTGACACGATTACCAAAGAAAAGCTGATCTCGGTTGTCGTCATCGAGCAAGAGAGGCACGCATGCGCACTGTAGTAGTATTAGTAGCTGCAATCATTTAGCTATTCCCGCCATTCATAAAGTTAGTCACGTGTGGAAAGGGGCGTATAACTGAAAACACTACTCGTAGTAAATTAGAAATGGTAAAGCAATGAAAAGGTAGAACACTCCCAAGTGTTTTCGACGCCGAAATAAAAATGGCTTAACTGACATTTTATTTCTTCTTTTTCTCTTCTTCTTCTTCTTCTTCTTCTTCTTCTTCTTCTTATTATTATTATTATTATTATTATTATTATTATTATTGTTGTTGTTGTTGTTATTATTATTATTATCATTAATTTCGCTTATGTTTTCACATACAAAGACTCATAAGTACGTCCACCTACCACCTACGCGGGTAAATGCATCAGTTAAAATAGTCAGTTATGTGCAATGCGTGATACGCGCTTAGTCGATCATGTATCGAAAGATACAGGACTGACGAGGCAGAATTTTTTTTATCTTGCAGTAGGTTGCCATTTCTTTCTACGGTAGACCAGTTGCCATCCAAGGCTATAGAATCCGGTCTGTCCTGCTATTTACCCATTTCTGGTGGGAGAAGAAGAGGATTCATACCTTTCCCAAGGGTATTATAAGCATGTAAGCGGATGTAATGAATTCGATTAGAATTCGAACTCGGCTCTCCGATTCCTCATTCCGAGAGCAGTTATCCATTACTATACAGATTATTTCGCATATTATTTTGCTTGTACGGTCATCTTTTTCCTAACAGGATACCCCCTTATTATAATGGCCTTGTGCCAGACTAGGTTAAGCTAAATAAACATATACGCATATATATGAAAATATATGTGGAAAGTATTTTGAAGGATTTTTTTCTTTTCATCAATCCCTTAGTTCTCACCTTTAAACAGAATAAACTTTTATATGTAATATTTGATTGATTGATTGACCTGTTTTCACGGCTTATCAACCTCTTGCAGGCTATTTAAAGCCATAAGATATTTTAGAGTGCTAGACTTTTTGGGATATAACAATGATTTTCTGACTCAAGTCCTAATTAACTGGAGGGGAGTAATTGATTCATGCCTTTTCCAAGGGCATTTGCGCGTAAGTAAATATAAAGAACACGAGTGGAATTGAAATTTCGCTTACCGATCTCGAATTCCTAGCGGTTATGCATTACACCACCCGCACACCCAAGCTGACGGCACCTAGTATTCCTAAGCGGTCACCTACCTAGGTACTGACTAGGTTCGACGTTGCTTAACTTCGATGATCTTTACATATAATAATATTTATTTTTATTCCATTTTTTAAAACCTGCCGTTTAACAGGACCTCATCTTCAGAGCCTTAATTGCCTTAAGGCGTTTCCCTGTGGTTGTCATTAGGTGCGCGCCCATGTAGGAGGCAGATGCCAACTCTCGGGGGACAAAAAGTTATTAGGTGTAATACAAATTCAAAATAACACTTTTAAAAATTAAATTCACCTCATACAAGTCCCGAGAAAGCATAGGGTTACAGTTTAAATGTCTATGATTAATGAGGTGTGATATGCGTGTAAGAGGAAGTGAAAATTATGAGGATAAGTAGGCTAGATAAAATGTTGAACCTGTTCATCGGTAGGTTTATTAAAAGCCAAAAGGTACAACTAGAAAAAGAAATACACATATAAGACTAGTTTAGTCTTAATAGCAAAAAAAACAAAGAGATAACAAGGATTATGCCAAAAGCAGGTAGAGAGCCTAGAACATCGAAGACCGTTTGGCGTCGCTGATTCGGCGTAGCCGACTCGACATAGAAAGTTTTGGACAGAGGGACGATTCAGATTACTACTTCGTCGTCATCGTCAAATTTGCTCTCTCTATCTCTCTCCCTCCTTTCTCCCTCTCTTTCTCTTTCTCCCTCTCTTTCTCTTTCTCCCTCTCTTTCTCTTTATCCCCCTCTCCCTCTCTCTCGTTTAAGTAAAACTAGAAAAAGAAATACACATATAATACTAGTTTAGTCTTGATTGGATAACAAGGATTATGACAAAAGCAGGTAGAGAGCCTTGAACATTGAAGTATAAGACCGTTTGTCTAAGGCCCCAATTGGTGTCGCTGATTTGGCGTAGCCGATTCGACATGGAATTTTTTCCACAGAGGGAGGATTAGGCGTTAGATTACTCTCTATCTCTTACTCACTCTCTCTCTCTCTTACTTTCTCTCTCTTACTCACCCACTCTCTCTTTTTCTCTTTCTCTCTCTCTAAAAATGTAGTTGGAGGCATTTTCATATTTAAGAAAAAGAGTAGTTGGAGGCATTTTTATATTTAAGAAAAAGAGTAGTTGGAGGCATTCTTATATTTAAGAAAAAGAGTAGTTGGAGGCATTCTTATATTTAAGAAAAGGAGTAGTTGGAGGCATTCTTATATTTAAGAAAAGCAGTAGTTGGAGGCATTTTTATATTTAAGAAAAAGAGTAGTTGGAGGCATTTTTATTTTAAGAAAAGGAGTAGTTGGAGGCATTTTATATTTAAGAAAAAGAGTTGTTGGAGGCATTTTTATATTTAGGAAAAGTAGCAGTTGGAGGTATTTTTAAATTTAAGAAAAAGATTAGTTGGAGGCATTAAGGAGTAGTTGGAGGCATTTTTATATTTAAGAAAAGGAGTAGTTGGAGGCATTTTATATTTAAGAAAAAGAGTAGTCGGAGGCATTTTTATATTTATGAAAAGGAGTAGTTGGAGGCATTTTTATATTTAAGAAAAAAAGTAGTTGGAGGCATTAAGGAGTAGTTGGAGGCATTTAATATTTAAGAAAAGGAGTAGTTGGAGGAATTTTTATATTTAAGAACAAGAGTAGTCGGAGTCATTAGGAAGTAGTTGGAGGCATTTTATATTTAAGAAAAGGAGTAGTTGGAGGCATTTTATTTTTAAGAAAAAGAGTTGTAGGCATTTTTATATTTAGGAAAAGTAGCAGTTGGAGGTATATTTAAATTTAAGAAAAAGATCAGTTGGAGGTATTTTTATATTATATTTCCTTCATTGCAGCTTCATATTTTTTCATTCGTCAAATCCTTTTTATTCCAAATGGAAGCAAATGTTTTATAAAAACTTGGAAGAAACAAAGTGATACATGATGGATACCTTCTTATTTTTGATACTTCTTTCTTTTTTTCTTTTTTTTTTTTTTTTTTTTTTTTTGGTGAGAGGTGGGAAGCCCCCGGTCAAAGACAGTGACGTCGAAACAGTCTGACGCCTAATACAAACGTAAAAAAGTGGCTGCGTTAAACAAATGTTCAAATAATAACGTAGAACTAGGTAGAGAGAAAAAGCTTTAAAAGTTACATACCGGCGTTGGTGGCAAGATTAGGATGGTGACAACACTAAGACCGACGTGCTTGGGCTCATGCTTTTATTGTGATAACTAAGGGACAACCACTAGTGATCAAAACGAATTAAAACTTAAGATATGACATTAAAAATGAAAATATGACTTAAACTTAAGATATGACATTAAAACTTAAGATAGGACATTAAAACTTGATATGACATTAAAACTTAAGATATGACTTAAACTTTAAAATATGACATTAAAACTTAATACCCTTGGGAAAGGTATGAATCTATCTCTTCTGTCTCTCATGAATGTTGCCCACATTTGTCCTCTTTCTCAGGTTCTGCACTGGTATTACCACCAAGATTTGCATTTAAATAAAATGTCAGCAATCAATCGATTCAGTGTCTCGAAACATCACATATAAAATTCAATTCATATTGATTATCTACAAAGCCATATAACGTTGAAACACCAGCTCCCGTGCAATCTCCCAAGTTAAGCAACATCAAGCCTGGTCAGTACGGGTGACCGCTTGGGAATACCAAGTGCTGTAAGCTTGGACGTGTGGGTGGTGTAATGAATGATGACTCGAAATTGTTAATCGGAGAGCCGTGTTCAAATTCCAGTCAGGTTTGTTATATTCACTTTCACGCAAATACACTCGGGAAAGGTATGAATCCACCTGTTTTTCCCCAGCTATGGTTTAATTAGTAAAACCTGTGTCGCTAAACTATTATTCTCTCTAAAAATAAAATAAAATTGTCTACAAAAATATTTAGATTTCGGCATTAAATAACTCATAGAGGTTGATTTGCTTTCGACAACAGGAATTAAATGTTATTTGTTTATCTGGCAAAAAGAGCCAAATAATTTATTCAAAATATGGACGTATTCAATTTGGCAGTTTTTTAACAAACTAATACTAGGCAATTCTTAATTACAAATATGGATAAAATGTCTAGTAGACAATCTTGTCCGGTTTGTTAAATAACTTATTTTCGTTGGATAAATTAGGATTTCTTGGTGATAATTTTAGGCTACAAATCTTAAAAAATTACTACGGAAGGCAAGACTTTTTGTTCTTTCCATCTGCGAGTGTGCGGTGTGGGTTTTCCTCAATGATTTTTGATGTTTTGAATCAGAGCCATCGTGTCGCACATGGAAGGCCAACACAAGCGTTGAAGATGTGATTGTCAGGTTTTTAGGATTTGAGTCATGACTGAATCAAACCGCACTAGCGACAACAGACCATCGTCCCTTCGCTTCCGTTTTTCTGTACGTCTCTTTCTTTGAGATCATCAGACTTTTTATGTTTTATATATATATATATATATATATATATATATAAAAAGTAAGATATATAATCCGGTGTTCTTGTTATTTTTTTTTTTTACAAAACAGAGCTCAATGTAAATTTACAGAGCATGAATATTATAAATTAACTGATTTAAATATATATATATATATATATATATATATATATATATATATATATATATATATATATGTGTGTGTGTGTGTGTGTGTGTGTGTGTGTGTGTGTGTGTCTTTGGTTCTTTTCTTACTTTCTTTCTCGCTTTCTTCGCCTGCTTCTCTCTCACTCTCTATCTCAATCTGTTCTTTATCTCTCTCTCTCCCTCTCTCTCTATCTATCTATCTGTCTATCTATGTCTGTTTCTGTCTTTCTTGTTTAATGCAAAAATGAAAGCCTTTAAGTCAAACTCGTTGACGGTTCAATTGTTTTTTAATCTCTATTCTAGTTTAACATTCTTAATAAATATTTTCCGATCAAGTCTTTCCTTAGATCGATTGATTAAAATACTCATTCCTAGGGATTTCATTGATTCTTTGTAATCTAATTATGATCATTTTTACAATCATCTGAAAATAATTTCACTTTCATATGTGCAAAAAGCACATATACATGTATATGTATGTCTCTGCCTCTGTTAATACGTATGAATGTGTGTGTGTGACAGAGAGAGAGTGTGGTGGAGAGAGAAAGAGAGAGAGTGTGTGTGGGAGAGAGAGAGTGCGTGTGCGTGGGAGAGAGATAGAGTGTGTGGAAGGAGAGAGTGGGGGGGAGCAGAGAGTGTGGGGGAGCAGAGAGTGTGGGGGGGCAGAGGTGTGTGGGGGGGGGAGAGGGGGGGGTGTGGGGGGGAGAGAGTGTGTGTGCGTGGGAGAGAGAGAGTGTGGGGGGTGTGTGTGTGTGTGCGCAGGGAGAGAGAGAGAGAGAGTGTGGGGAGAGAGAGGAGGTGTGTGTGGAGGGAGAGAGAGAGGTGTGTGTGGGGAGAGTGTGTGTGTGGGGGGGGGGGGGTGTGTGTGTGGGGGAGAGAGAGAGTGTGGGAGGAGAAAGAGTGTGTGTGTGTGTTTGTGTGGGGAGAGAGGTGTGTGGAAGAGAGAGAGAGGTGTGTGGGAGAGAGAGAGAGAGTGTGGGGGGAGAGGTGTGTGTGTGTTCAGGAGAGAGAGAGGGGGAGAGAAAGAGGTGTGTGTGTGTGTTTGTGTGTGGGAGAGAGAGAGTGTGTGTGCGGGAGAGAGAGAGAGAGGGGGGGAGGTGTGTGTGTGTGTTCAGGAGAGAGAGAGAGAGTGTGTGTGTGTGTGGGAGAGAGAGAGTATGTGTGTGTGGGGGAGGGAGAGAGATAGTGTGTGTGTGTGTGTCTGTGTGCGTTGTCCGAACAACAAATAATCGAACCTTTCTGTGCAAGAAAAACGTTCCGATGAAAGGCAACAAAAAGTATAAAAAATTATACTATGCGAGACACTTTATCTTAGAATCTCAAATCTAATACTACTACTACTACTGCTGCTACTACTACTACTACTGCTACTAATATTATTATAATAATAATAATAATAATAATAATAATAATAATAATAATAATAATAAACTATCAAAATACAAAGACCTGGAAATTGAAATAGAAAAAATGTGGAAATTGAAAACAAGAATAATACCAGTGGTAATAGGTGCACTTGGAATTATAAAAAATGGAACAAAACAACACATTGAAAGAATCCCTGGAAACCCCAGCTTAAGAGACATACAGAAAATTGTCTTATTAAGTACAGCACACACACTAAGGAGAACTTTGTCTATGTAACGCTAGCAACTTCATCGGAGATATAAAAAAAAAAAAAAAAAAAAATTAACATGAAATGTGGCCATAACAACACACCACGACCTGCCTTAGGTCTTTCCGCAGACTTGGTAGGTAGTGTGTCCATAGCAGAAATAATAATAATAATAATAATAATAATATTATAATAATATTATAATAATAATAATAATAATAATAATAATAATAATGGAATACATCAAAATCCCATACTAAAGATGCTGGAACGTACCTGACTTCTGCTATGCTTTATCTTAGCAAAAGTCACATTAAACCAGTTGTTCCCAACCGATTTGGGGGCCATACTCCACTTTGGTATTTCTAACATAATGCTAATAATAGTAATATTTAATTCTTCCCTGTTCAAAATTTTACTGCAATTCACGTGAAGGAAGCTAAGTTAATGGCCTATTAACTAAACAAGCCTTCAAAGAACATGGCGTCCATGAAAGAGAAAAATTAAAAAAAAAAAAATACAGTTAAATATATATAGTTTCAAAACATAGAGAACTGAAAGGCAGAAATATAAAATATTTGAATGAAATGCTATAATATACTTTGATCATTTTAATCACGAAGCAATGCAAACTGAAACTTGAGCTAACGTTGATATAGTAAGCCGAAGGGTGTACATCCCACACCCCGGTGGGGCATGCGCATTACGTTGGGAATCATTACACTAGCCAAAATCTTGGAGTATTGTTGCTTTATCTGGGCTGGAGCTGCTCAATCTTCACTTTCCTCGCTTGAAAAGATTTCAAAGTCGTTTACGTGGTCTTTTGGGAGATGACATATTTTCCACTCTGCAACCTGAAAACGCCATGTTGCTAGTCTGTTGCTATACCATTGCTATTTCCGTAGCAAATTCTCAAATGAACTCTACTCCTTAGTTTCACGAATTCAGATCTTTACAGGTAAGACGCACCATGCTATTTCCACGAAGTCGAATCACCGTCATTTCCCCCGCATTCCAGTTATAACGAAGAAGGTCCACTCAGACAACATTTTCCAAAGAAATGCTACTTCATGAGACAGACTCCGGTGGGGATGCTTCCCTGATCTACTACAACCTCTTCAAGTCATGGGACAGTCATTATGTATCTTCTTTATCCTCATAATTTTCATCTCCTACCACATTTATATCACACACCTCATTCTGTAAACCTCTACCTTAAGTGGCTCCCGAGTCTTGTATTAGGTGAACTTTAATATTAAAAACGCATTTATCTTAATCTCGTGAGAGCTCCTACATGTTTTTGAGACTTATGTACTGCTCTGTTTACGGTGTCTTCCGAAGATCCTTGCTCTTATGGAACTTTAAAATACTGGTGATCAGGTTCACATCTGCCTTGAGTTTTAAGGCGCCATAATTGACAACTGATTGTCATGTACTGTAGTTTAACTCTTAAACGGAGGACGTGATCAAATGATGTTTCATTGAAGACTTCCGGTTAGAAGTAATTGACAATTCTATCTTTTCCAACAATTCCGGTATAATTCATTCATAGTTAGAGTCTAAATAATTAATTACTAACTCTAGGAGACTAAATCATTTGCCTGGAGTATTCGCCTGCAAATAAAGCTGGGAGAAGAATACCAAGACATTTCTATGCTTGCATGCAGACATCTCGTAGAGAAAAGACGCAAAAAATGATGACATCGTGGCGCAAAAAATGCACAACTCTACTTTACAATGCTTCAAGGAGTATCTGCTGGTAAATTACAATGCTTCAAGAAGTATCATGCTGGTAGATTACAATGCTTCAAGGAGTATCATGCTGGTAGATTACAATGCTTCAAGGAGTATCATGCTGGTAGATTACAATGCTTCAAGGAGTATCATACTGGTAGATTACAATGCTTCAAGGAGTATCATGCTGGTAGATTACAATGCTTCAAGGAGTATCATGCTGGTACAGTAAAATGCTTCAAGGAGTATCATGCCGATAAATTATAATGCCTCAAGGAGTATCATGCTGGTAAATTATAATGCCTGAAGGAGTATCATGCTGGTAAATTACAATGCTTCAAGGAGTATCATGCTGGTAGATTACAATGCTTCAAGGAGTATCATACTGGTAGATTACAATGCTTCAAGGAGTATCATGCTGGTAAATGACAATACTTCAAGGAGTATCATGCCGGTAAATGACAATAATTCAAGGAGTAGCATGCTGGTAAATTACAATGCTTCAAAAAGTATCATGCTGGTACAGTAAAATGCTTCAAGGAGTATCATGCCGATAAATTATAATGCCTCAAGTAGTATCATGCTGGTAAATTACCATGACTCAAGGAGTATCTGGCTGGTAAATTACAATGCTTCAAGGAGTATCTGCTGGTAAATTACAATGCTTCAAGGAGTATCATGCTGGTAAATTACAATGCTTTCAAGGAGTATCATGCCGATAAATTATAATGCCTCAAGGAGTATCATGC